AAAAAAAAAAAAAAAAAAAAAAAAAGAAACCAGAGGACATCTGAGTTCCCTGAGCTCTCAGGCCCAAATTCTGCCCTCAGAAAAGCAAACAGTCACCTGACTTTGAGAAGATACAAGCAAGTTTGCATGCAAAAGGGAAAGACTAGCTCCTTTGAGTCTTAAAAAGAATGAGATAGCTTCCTTCAAGCAAAACAATTTCATCAATCCATCAATCCCAGCTGGCTCCATTGGTTAGAGCACAGGCTCATAACACCAAGGTCATGGGTTGATCCCCATAGCCCATAACCCATACCAGCCAGCCACCAAAAATAAATAAATAAATAAATCTTGTCAATCCTTAAAGGCTTTGGTGACAAAGCCCAAGGCATCTCAGCCCCTTGCTATCAGAGGACTGAATAGTTCAGCTATTTTGCCAAACTCCAAGACCAGGAACCATAGGCCTATTAGGGAGTGTGGGTTTGATAAATGTTTGTTGAATGAGCAAACTAGATCAGAACACGGAAGACTAAATGAGATCCTAAATAAATGCTACTCTGTAGTGTAAGAATAATGCTGAGATTTAGAAGAAAGGGACTACTTTGAAAGTTATTTAAAATAGGATCCATTTGACCCTAACTTGATAAATGAAATGAAGTTAAATCAAAACGACACGATACACAAGAAACAAGAAAGGAAACTGGCCTACAAAACTACAGACAAAAACTGAAAACCTTTATTAAAAGTCAGTTTGACTGATTCTCTAAGCATGTGAATTCTTAAATATTGTTTATGTTTACAAATAGGAGTGTCCATAGACAAATCACACCTATTCTAGTATCAAATATGATATTTCTGCACTATTATTATATATAGTAAAATACAAGCCTCTGAAGAATGTACAGAAGTAGAACTTCTGTTTTCTAGGATTAACGATCCCTTACTGTCTTGCACTTGGAAGATGTTAACGAAAGATGATAATGACAAGAGGGTGAGCACACCAACCTCCCCGAGAACAAATTCATTATACCCAGTTTTCTTTAAAATACAAATGAGGATCATTACCAAAGTATTCACAATGGATTTCTCTGGATTGCCAGTTCTCCTAAATAACTTGAAATATTATACAAACTACACAAAATTATTTTACACACATATGTCTTAAGAAAAACAAATTGGAAAAACAACTATGTGTGTTTATTTAATATCTGCCCAGCCATCACAGAATTCTTGACGTATATGCAACACATAGGCCCCATCCTCAAGGTCATTCTAATTGTAATCAGTTGAAATTAAATCCAGTTCTCCATTGTAAACTCAGAAAGCAACTCGGTTATTTTGCTAGATAAAGCCACATCATTTTCCACCTCTAAAATGTACGTTTAATACCCTAAAAACTGTTTTACGTGCCTTATAGACATCAATACATAGTGTGTTATGCTCCCCCTATTGGCCAATATTCAAAATAACAATAAATACCCGAGGGACTGCCTTTGAAGTGCTGGCTTTCAAAAGTTAAGTTGATGATTTTTATATTTAAAAACATGAGCTGAATCAACAGTTGTTAAGCAAAGCTGCCATGTAACGGTCAGATTCCATCAAAACAGGAAAAATTAAAGTTGACAAATGACAAAGACAAACTGAAGGGCAAAAAAATATGCTGAAGCCTTGAAACACTGAACAATGCAGAATTAAAGCCAAAAAGCAGAGAACACCAAGAAACAGCGACATCCTTTAACTGACACAATGGCATGAAATCAATTTCATTTTAATAGCCCTTCAGGGGGTAAGAATTATTTCCCTGCCTCCTGTGCCAACCCCAAGCTGTTTCCTAAGGAAGCCAAGAAACAGTGATCAACAATGTCTGGAGAATGAATAAAAGAAATTAAGAATAAAGATCTATATTAATTAATAGAAGTCAGAGAGTTCTATTTATAATTATTTGGAGCCAGTTTCAGAGGAGCTGTTATTGGGCATCCCGTAAGTATATATAATCACCTAAATTAACCACAGGTATCTTATTTGTGTTTTAGGATATGTGTGCAGCTCACATGGGAAGCTGAACGCTGGAAGATGCATGGGCTGACAGCACACGAGTGTGACTGCACAAGTCTCACGGCACTTGCTGCTCTGGGCTGAGTAAGGCAGCTAGCTCTGAAGTCAACCAACAGAAAGGTGCGCATGATCTTGGGGGAATGATCTAACCTCTAGTGTTTTATCTGTAAAATGGAGCTATTAATAGTGTCTTCACCATAGGGTTGGTGTGAGAATTAAGTGCGACCGTGTCTCGAAGGACACGGAGTGTCTGGCACACAGTATGGGCTCAATAAACGTTAGTTATTATTATTACCCAAAAGAAACAGCTGAGACCACGCTGAAGTAACTACTTCCAGGCTGAAGTACCATTTCAGGAAGATTAAAAGGTCTTCCACACGTGCCACCTGTGGAGATTCTCTCCTCCCAAACTGCTCACTTCTTCGAGGGAAGATGGAACTCAGAAAACGCCTCTTTCCTGGTCTCAGTCTGTCACTCGTACCGTTCCCTCTCCTCGCTGCTCTTCTCCCGCCACTGCAGAGTCGGCGCCAAGCACTGTTCCAGCACCTTGCACAGATTAAATCATTCAATCTTCCCAGCAACTTTATGAGGCCGTGCTATTATTCCCACTTCATAGCTAGGGAAATGCAGCGAATTTATTTCATTAAGTGCTACTCTGCCAAGGTAACTCATGCTTGACACACCGGCTCCCTACACCGTGTGGTCCTGGAAAGTGGGGCAAATGCCCTAATAAGAGCAAGTCTGCATGCAGATTCTTCTAGCAAGAGTCCACGATTTCCAAGTTTGTGCTAATCAAATTATCCCACTAAGCCTTCAAAACGGACGGGGAGGCACGGCTAAGCTAGCGTGGGCGCGTTCTCTACCGGGGCTCCGCAGAGCACCCCGAGGGTGCGGCCCGCGGGGAGCGCAGCTGGCATCTGTGCGCGAGTCCCGGAGCCGCAGCCTCTGCCCCGGCAATTGAGCGCAAATCCACAACAAACCTCTCCCACCGGCGCTGTCACGCGCCCGCCCGGAGGGAAGTGGCCGGCGCGCCCCGCAGGGGTCAGAAGGAACCGCGGAGAGGAAGAGCGAGGGCGGGCGTGGAGAACTCCCCAGCACGGCGCATCGCCCCGAGCGCTGCCCACCCACCACCCGCCACAGGTC